CCAAAGGTTAGCCAATTTTTAGATACCTATCAATAATACTTGATATTTACTTTTATTATCACTAGTGTCGGCTTTTGTATACTAGGTGAAGGTGTGACCTTAAATATTATACCGCTATTTATAGGTATAAAAAATTGCCAAATTAAATATAATAAAATATAACACATTTTATTATTTTAAAGGTCGTAGTAGAAAATAGAAATGAAAATACTAATAATAACTATTATTATATTATAACAACCGTTAAAGACGAGCGTACACGTAATTAATTCTAAAAATTAATTACTCAATAGAGTAATACGGGTTACGGAGATTGCCACGAACTGATAATGCTCCGACATTTATATACTCCGACACTGTAAAAAAATCCTCCGAATACATTTACTCCGACAACAATTACTACGAATACCCGGTTAAAAAAATTTAGATTTTACTACGACGATGAATACTTCGAACAGAACTATTAATTGATTGCTCCGAATGAAATTTGCTCCAAATATCGATTATTCGCGAAATCTATTACAAAATTATGAAATTTCGGATTAGATGAATATCGAAGCAATATATTATCTGATGGAAAAATATAACCCTTATCACTAATTAATATAATAAAATAGCGTTATAATTGATTGCTGTCTATTAACGAATAATTATTACAATAAAGGTCCTCGAAACGTATCAGACTTTTGATAAAATAGGTACATAAAGGTAAGGAAGGAGGCTTTGAACTAAAACAACACCAGTTATATAACTGGTTTGAGCCCTTAATTTTTTTTTTTTTTTTGAGATGAAAAAAGAGCGATTCCAATTTTTGGGCGTAAAATCTTTTTTGCCTCTCCTTATTAGTGCCTATTATTATAATATTTAATTAGTTTAGTTAAAATATATAGGGGTACGTGCCACTAATGATAGGATTCGTCATTAAACTAGCTATTATTATTAACACTACACTACACTATTACTAATAGTAGTGATGATACACAAATCACAGCATAAAATAAATTATTAAAATATTTTTACTAACTAATAGTAGTGATGATACTAAAATAAATTAAATGGACTAGACATCTTTGTTATTTTTATAATAACAAAGAAAAATGTATTAAATGTTAGTTTACAAGTGATAAGTACATATTTTTAAGGGGTATAACAATCATTTAATATTATATAATGTTTAACTACTGATAATAAAAATATCAAAGAATAACACTTATGAAAAATAATGGAGTGCAATGTTAAAAATATATGAAGTCTAATTTTGTAACAATTTCATTGTAATTATTATTAAAAAAAGGAAACGCTATTCCGATTTTTTTTTCATGGAAATATCAAACTGATTTCAATAAATGTATATAAGATTTTAAAGAAAAAGAACTTTAAATAAATAATTTTTTACTCCTTAATATTAGCTTCGATGCGAAGCTGAGAAGGTATTGGTTTTACTAAGATGTGTTTTTTTTTTTTTTTTTTTTTTTTTTTTTTTTT